TTTGAATGGCGGATAAACTGGGTAATCTTTTTTATTTTTTTTTCCCTTGAGCTGCCTGTGGGGCAGCTTTTTCAGCTCGGGAACTGTTCAACCGGTAACGCATCGATAAAACTGTCCGCTGAGTTTGTTCTCTGCGTGTTTACAAGATGGTAGCTGGTTATGTTTATATGCTCTTTTCCTTTCCCTTATTTGTGCTTTGAAAACAGTATCCTAAAAAAAGAAGGGAGGGTTGGGAGGGAGGTGCCATCATGACAGTCTTCAACAGGATATGGCTTGGTTAAAATAAAAGATTTCTTGTTATTTTTATTTTTCTGAAAAGAAACGGAGAACACACGGGAGGGAGTTCCTGTGATAATGTTAGGACTCCACTTATGTGTTGAGCTACATCCTGGTTTGGGACTCATTCATCATAAAGTCCTGTCTTCTGGATTGCAGAATGTGTTTTGGAAGTTCCATCCCTAAAGGGATGGAATTACCAGTCTCTTTGTCTTCCTCTCCAAGAGAATGAATTGATATCTGAAAAGTTTTCACATGATTAGATTACACTGTCTTTACCAGGAAAGATGTTTCAGAGTCATGCCAGAGAAATGTGTAATTCCTTTCAGGTATACTCCTTTTTTTCCCCATTTCTAAACACATCCAGGTTGTAGGAATACATGCCAAATTTCAGTGATGGGGTGTGCTTCCCAGAAAGAGGAAGCAGCAAACAATGATCTGGATTTGCTTTTAAGTTTATAATCCTAAACATGTAGACCTCATTCACACTCAGGGGAAGCAGCAGTGGTCTCTTGTGTGTTTTGTGGTTTTTTTAAAACTTTAAAAACCCAAACCAAATGGAAACCAAAACCAAATGGAAACCCAAACCCTAACACCCCCTTAGATATTGTTAAAAGTCTTTAAAGCAACTGCACGTAGTGATTTTTAAGCCAGATTTAGTATTTGACATCTGAAAACGTCACTGTACTGCAGCAAACTGCTTAGTTAAGTGAAACATTGCAGCGAGCTACTGCTTTAAACATAACGGTCAGTATTGCTGAAGCACTTCATATGCTTATCAACATACTTTTTGCTACCTGTAGAATTAACAGAAGAAAATTTCAATTTTAAGTCTTGAAGCTAACTAGAAGAAAATATTTAAGCATCAAAGGAATGTAGAAGTTACTGAAGATCCAGTCTATGTTTTATCACTTAGAAGTTGTAGTTGACGTTAAATTTAGGAAAGTTACGTATCCGAGGGAGATGGCTCAGTTCCATGGGGAACTCATGAAAGTAGCAACTTCCACCTCCCATCGTATCTAAAATATCCAAAAAGATCACGTTTTCATGAAGTGATTTTCCTTTACTCGTTTTAAGCTGTTGAACAGTGACCCTTGACCACACATGGGTAAGATTGCTTTGAAAAGGAATAAATAATCTGAAGAAATAATACATTAGCATTAATTTGTCTATTTTTCAAACTGAGGAATAAATAATCTGAAGAAATAATACATTAACATTAATTTGGCTATTTTTCAAACTTTCAGTTTGATTAATCTAGTTCTATTTTATTTGTCTAATTCATTAATTGAAGAGTAGAGCATATTGTGTTTTTTAAACAGGCCTGGGCCTGCAAAATCTTCAGCAGTAACTGCCTTTCCTCTTT